TTTGAGAATAAAATTAAAATTAGCCTATTTGCAGATGATACATTATTAACAATAAAGAATCCAGCTAAGGTTATGGACCCGATTAAAATACATTTAACAGAATTTGGAGAAACAATGGGTTTACAAGTAAATTGGAACAAATCAGAGATGATGTTATTTAATTGTAATAAATTAAAAAAGAATATTAAGAACAAGCTAGAAGTTAAGATATGTAAAATTCTAAAGTATTTGGATATAAATAATATGAAAAAACTTGCAAGGTTTAAAAGTTAAGATAAGTTAATTTTGATAAGTTAAAATATGAAGTGAAAGAGAAGATGAATGAATTTAAAAAGATTGGTTTACCATGGTTTGGATTGAACAGGGGTATTTCAAATGAAGATTTTACCTAAGATTAATTTCTTGCTTATGATGTTGTCAATTGAATTAATAGAGAAAGATTTGAAAGAATGGGAAAACATGATTAATAAATTTTGTACTGGGGATAAAAAATAAAGATTAATTAAAAAATGGTATATGCCCCAGAAAACAGTGGGTTTAGGTATTCCAAATGTGAAATTTAAGTATACAACTGATCAAATGAGACATAAGCCAGATACTACAGCCAGATAAGCTAACATGGGATAAATTAGGATATCAAGATGTAGGGGGATCCTTATTAAATATCTTTTTTCAATGAGATAATAAAAACATTATCAAAAAGAGAGGAAACAATTTTTATTTTATTTTATTTTGTTTTTTTAAGAATTTGGTCAGATTTTGGAATAAATTTAGGGTTATATTTATTCCTTCAATTTCAGTGTTATATCCAATTATGGAATTAGAAAGAATCCCCTAGAATCTGAGTAGTCTGAGGGAAGTACTGAAGAGTAAACATGGTATTAGGTTGAAAGATCGGTTAGAGAAAATGAAGAGTAAAGAAATGCTACAAGCAACACTGGGACAGGATAAAGTAAATTGGTATAATATACTTCAGTTTGATTATTGGACTAAGGATTGGCTGAAGTAAAATGATAAATGTAAAGAATGCACTAAATTTGAAGATATGATTTTACAGAAAGAAAAACAAGATAATATGTAAATGAAAGGAACAATAAGTAAAATTTACAATGTATTAATAGAAGAGGAGGATCAATATGATGCGCTTAAAGAGTCTTGGGAAGTAGATTTAAAAAGAAAGATTAGCACTGAAGAATGGAATAATATGTGGGATAAGAGAATTTAAAAAAAAATTTAAAAAATGTCAGTAAAAATTAAAGGGAATTTGTATAAACTGTAAATGGTACATCACTCAGGTTAAATGAAATTATATGAATAATGAATACTCCACTGTTGATGGAGATGCAACCAGGACATGCATACAGATTTCCATATGTGGTGGAAGTGTAAATATATGAGTTTTGCAAAATGGTTTTCAAAGAAATTAGTAAAATATTGAATTTCAATACAGAAGCTGACCCTGGATTGGCATTATTGGCATTATTTAGAGAACAGATGGGGCAGAATACTAAAGAATTGATGATAAATGTATCAATGGCAGTAACATTAATAATAACAAGGAATTGGGAAATAAAAGGTGAATATCAAATCACTGACTGGTATAAAGAAGTCTGGAATTAATGATAGGTTAACTTGTAATATTAAATGGAAAAAAAGTTTGATAAATAAAAAACAATTCTGAAAATATTTTGAGACCATTTATTGAATGCGTTTTAATAAAAGGGAAGGGTGTGAATCAACACAAAAGTCAGTGCAGTTATGGAAGGGAAGTGGGGTAACCTGAATGAATAAATTCTCTTAAACATTTAGTGACTTGTTTTGTTGGACCTGGTGGAGGTAGCATTGATATTGTTTTATTGTTTAGTTCTGCTTAATAGTAATGATTAATTTCGCTCATTGTTATTATATTAATTGTATTGTTTTTGGTAGTTTAATAAAATTTATTATTATTTTTTAAATAAGCAAATTATTTACCTGAGCACCAAAATGGGACCCTGGAGCACCTTGACAACAGTCCCTGGCCTTAAGCATCACAGCCCAAAGGACTTGGAGATCATTTTCCCACAATACTTCTGGGAGGTGGGTGACCATTCTAAGGAATGCTAGCCCTCCCTTCACCATGGTCTCTTTCATGTATGTTCCCACACATCCTGACAGGTATCAGCACTGATTCGCCACTAGTCCAGTAGAATTCACAGCTTGGTGAAGGCTTCTGAAACACGCACATTCAAGTGAAGAAAGAGACAAGTCCCTCCAGCATCAAAAAGGCTCCTGTATGATTCCTTTCCCTGTTGAAGAGTACTGATGCAATGTATACTTTTGGGTGCATTAAATACATTTGATCTGAAGGGGGTCATTGTACTTGCTGTGTGCTGAGTGTTGGTACAGTGTGAGTTCTTCTGCTCACGGTATGTGCAGGTTGTCCATGCAAAGCTATGTTTCTAATCTGAGTCAAGCCTTCCTGACAGAGGTGGTCTTCAAACCCTGGAAACAAACAAGAAGATGAACACCCATACAGCCTTGATTTCTGCACCTAATGATGTAGAACGGTGTGCTTGTCCAATGAATGGCATAATAAACTCATTGCAATGCTCTCTCAGTGAGTTGTTTTTATGTGCCATCAAGTCATCTCTGACTTCTTTGAACCCCGTGAATGAAAGTCCTTCCAAATGTCCTGTCCATGACAGCCTTGCTCAGCTCTCCCAAGTTCAAGATGGTGGCTTGCTCTGTGGAGTCCTCCCTTCTCTTATCTGACCTTCCTTTTTCTTCTTCTGCCTTTGGCTTGCCCTAGCAGTGCTTGATCTGGTCTGCCTGTCTTCATGGCATGCAAAATACCCACTCAGGTTCTGTGGAAAATACATTAATTTGGCCTGGCAAAAATGTCTGTTAAAGGAAGATAGCACCTGAAAGTGTTTTGTTCACACCTGTCCAATTTTGTAGATGCCCAACAGATTTGAAATTTGCTTGGAGAACAGGCCCGTGTGTTCTCAGTGTATGGAGCTGCCATCATGTTGGCCTTCAGGTATCCATGTTCCTGGCTATCCTTATAATTTATGATAGCCAATTCCATGCTTTAAACCTGTATGTGTGACATAGCCCATTTGTCATTTGGAGCCACTTGGTCTGAACAAGTCACAGTTTGCAGTCATCATTTGTAAGCATGCATCATGCAATTTGGCATTTTTTAACATTAGAAAGCACATTTTGGATGGCTCTGAATGACAGTTCGGTTTCTGTGGTGTTCCACTCCTCCTGCAGGTCTGCATCATTCTGAGAGTGCCAGCAATCAGCTCAGTCAGGCATGCTCCACCACGAGGAATGGAGAATGACCTGGATTGGAGATCCATCAAACTCTGGGCTTGGCACCTTGGATTGCACATATTTGGCAGTGGACTGGAGCCTGAGACCTGCAGGTCCACCCATTGGCCATGAGGTGCTCACTAGGAATTCAGACAAAGGCAGAGTCCCTTTCCTCCAGTAGCTGCAGCTGTTGTTTGGGCACCTACAGGAGTAGCTCACCAGGAAAGGAGTCTCAGGCTGGTCCCTTCTGCCATGCCAAGTGCAGCTGCCATATTTGAGCAACCAAAGCTGATGCAGCCCCTGTGAGTGTTCAGAGTCTTGCTCTCAGCTTGGCTTGCTTGGGATGACTGTGCTGAGTATGAGTGGAAGCTCAGAACCTTCCCACAGATTTATTTATTTAGCATATGGCGTACATTGCTAGGGAGTCTATAGTGCTTTCACACAGTGATGTACTGGCACAGCCAAATGCTAGTTATTTCCTGCACTGGTGCACCACAGGGGTGAACTACCTTTGCACTGGTTGGTCAGTGATGCTCTTGAGTTGGCCTGTCTGGGGCTTTTCTCTGTAGATCTTCCACTGAGCACGTACAGGCAAATCAAGTGCTGGTACTTCCTTTTAGTTTGAACGCAGCCAGCATTTCACAATATGGGAGTCCCTATTTATCTACTCTCAGCATTCTCTACTTTCCCAACAGAGAAACTAGGCAATGATCTCTAGAATATTACTGGAATGTCTTGTGGGCCAGAAGTTCTCCATTCCCCTTGATGATAATGTTAACATGTGGATTCTGAATACACACAAATCACTGAACATTTGGGGCCCGAAAATCTGAAGGATCTTTATCCATATATACCTGGCATAGCATAAGGCCCCCTATGAGGTCCTTCTCAGAGAATATCCTTTGAAAAAGGCTAGAAGAGAGGCAACCAGGGGATGGGCCAATGCAGTGGTAGTGCCCTGATGGTGGATCTGTCCCCCAGAGAGATCCACAACAAGAATGCATGCAAGTGTGCTGCATGTTCCAAAACGTGTAAAGCTCTGGAGGAAGCACTTGCTTCAGGATTTCTTGAGAGTTTCAAAATGTTATGCATGTGCTGCTGCTGACCAGGTACCTCAGAGACACACAGAAAACAGGAAGCAGAAGGAACATTTATTCAGAAGGATAGATAAAACCCATGTGACCTCCCACATTGTCATCTGGGCAGGCAACATGGTGTCCTAACCTCGCTTGATATTTCTACAGGGGTGAAAAGCATACAGCTCCATCATTCTTCAGCCTCAGTCAGAACATGTGATTTTTATCTAATACCACCATCCCAGTAGGATTATCCAGCTATGGTACTTGAGACAGAGGAAAGTTTGAAGTGGACATCCAAAAATCTGGAAACTTAAACACTGTCCACATATTGCCTAATTCATAGTTTTTATTCACTTTTGGAAAGGGGATCATTGCTTCTACGAATGCATTACTTTGTCCTCACCTGAGAAAGGTCAGACAACATTTTGAAGAGGGATATGTTGCCATCAGGAGAAGAGAACTAAACATATGTATTCCTGGGCTCCCCCCGCCGCTTCTATTCCTAGATCTACAAGCAAACTATGGGAAGATTCCATGTCTTGCCTGCATCTGATCATATGCTACATATTTGGGTTGCTGTGAGGATAATTGATCCCTGACCCCCCCCCCCCAAATTCGGAGCTATGTCAAGATGCCATCTTTTGTTTTCCTCACAAGATTCTCCTTTGAATTCAGAGCAGGCCTCAAGAGAATGATGTAGCACTTGGGAAGAAAGATGCAGCCCAGTAAGCCAGCACTGGAGGCCAAGATGGAGAAGACCTGCACGGCCACCATGTACTTCCCCTTGGTGCTCAGGTAGGTGGGCACGAAGGACACCCAGACACTGCAGAAAACCAGCATGCTGAAGGTGATCAGTCTGGCCTCATTGAAGGCTCCAGGCAGCTTCCTGGCCAGGAAAGCCACCACGAAGCAGATGGCAGCCTGGAATCCCATGTATCCAAGGGCAGTGTAGAACATGGCCACAGAGCCCTCATTGCACTGTAGGATGATATGTCCAGGCTGGGAGTGCATGTCTGAGTCAGGGAAGGGAGGAGAGGTGCCCAGCCAGATGCAGCAGATGACAGCTTGGATGCTGGAATAGAAAAGGACAATGGAGTTGGCCAACCTCTTCCCCAGCCAGTTTCTTGCTCTGCTTCCTGGCTTGGTAGCCAAGAAGACCAAGACCACTGTGACTGTTTTGGCTAAGAGAGAAGAGATTGCAACTGAGAAGATGATGCCAAAGGCCATTTGTCGGAGAAGGCAGGTCACCTTCCTGGGCGAGCCTAAAAAGAGGAAGGAGGACAAGACGGAAAGCAGCAGGGTGATGAGAAGAATGTAGGAGAGGCTGCGGTTGTTGGCTTTGATGACTGGAGTTTCCTGGAATTTAATGAAGATTCCCAACACAAGTCCTGTGAATAAGGAGAGCATCAGTGCCATGGAAGCCAGGGCCATCCCAAGAGCATCTTCATATGACAGGAAGGTGATTTCCTTGGGAGTACATTGAGTTCGGTTCTTGTTTGGATGCTGAATGTCTGGACACTTGATGCAATGGTCAGCATCTGGAAAGAGAAAAGTCTCCCTTTCATCTTTAACCATCTCTGTTCTTTATGCTCAAGCAAGGATTTTGAGCAAGTAACCCATGTACAAACTGCTTTCCTCCCTCCCTACATAGTTCCTGAGTTTCTTCTTTCTTCCATGCCAAGAACCCACATTCTGTGAATCCACCGTGTATAATCCAAAGATGGGTATTGGGAATTCCCCAGGCCAAGCCTCTTAGGGCTCCTTTAGGAGCTTTGCATAGCAATCTCTCTATTGAATTTCCTCCCTTTTCTTTGCCAATTTGTTATTTCAGAGGAGGGTTCACGTTTCTTTTGCAAGCCACACATTCTGCCTCTCCAAATGATGTGTTGCAGGTGAGCTCCCATGTACATAGATGCACAAAGCCTTCCCGCTGGGCACTCCATTGTGTGGCTGAAGTGGTGTGTTAAAAGAAGCACAGAACAGCCACGTTGGAAGTGACCAAAGGGCTATGGGTCCAACTTCATGCTAAGTTACACCATCCTTTTCAGATGACTGTCCAGATTAATCATATTTACTTTTTATATGTATATTTATATGTTCCAACTACTATGATAGTAGGAAACATATAAATATTTCATTTCACATGCTAGCAAAGTTATGCTCAAAATCATTTCACATGCTTGCAAAGTCATGCTCAAAATTGTACAAGTTAGGCTCCAGCAGTATGTGGACCAAGAACTAGCAAAAGTACAGGCAGGATTTTGAAGAGGCAGAGGAAATAGAGATCAAATTGCCAACATACACTGGATCATGGAGAAAACTATGGAGTTCCAGAAAAAGATTTACTTCTGCTTCATTGACTATGCTAAAGCCTTTGATTGTGTGGATCACAACAGATTGTGGCAAGTTCTTAAAGGGATGGGAGTACCAGACCATCTTATTTGTCTCTTGAGAAACCTATATGCGGGTCAAGAAGCAACAGTGAGAACTGAACACGGAACCACTGATTGGTACTAATTGAGAAAGGAGTTTGGCAAGGCTGTATACTGTTGCCCTCCCTGTTGAACTTATATGCAGAGCACATCATGAGAAAGGCGGGGCTAGATGAATCACCAGTTGGAATTAAGATTGCTGGGAGAAATATCAACAACCTCAGATAAGCAGATGATACCACTCTAGTGGCAGAAAGTGAAGAGGAACTAAAGAGCCTCTTGATGTGTTTGAAGGAGGAGAGTGCAAATGTTGGCTTGAAACTCAACATTAAGAAAACTAAGATCATGGCATCCGGTCCTCTCACTTCTTGGCAAATAGTTGGGGAAGAAATGGAGGTAGTGACAGATTTTATTTTCCTGGGCTCCAATATCACCACAGACAGGGACTGCAGCCAAGAAATTAAAAGATGCTTGTTCCTGGGGAGGAAAGCTATGGCAAATCTAGACTGCATACTAAATAGCAGAGACATCACCCTGCCGACAAAAGTGCATATAGTCAAGGCTGTGGATTTCCCAGTTGCAAAGTATGGCTATGAAAGCTGGACCATAAGAAAGGCTGAACGCTGAAGAATTGATGCCTTTGAATTGTGGTGCTGGAGGAGATTCCTGCAAGTCCCTTGGACTGCAAGGCGATCAAACTGGTCAGTCCTAGAGGAGATCAACCCTGACTGCTCTTTGGAAGGCCAGACACTGAAGATGAAACTCAAATACTTCTCACCTAATGAGAAGGAAGGAGTCCCTGGAGAAGAGCCTAATGCTGGGAACAATAGATGGCAAAAGAAGAAGGGGACCACAGAGGATGAGGTGGCTAGATGGAGTCACTGAAACAGTTGGTGTGAGCTTAAGTGGACTCTGGGGGATGGTGGAGGACAGGAAGGCCTGGAGGAATGTTGTCCATGCAGTTGCGATGGGTCGGACACGACTTTGTGACTGACAACAAACAACACTACTATGATAAAAAGTATAGCAACATAGAACAAGAAATAAACAATATAATGCACTGCAATTGAAATTTAAAACCATTATAATAAAACAATATACCATGCAGGGAAAGGGAGGGCAGGATCAATTATTTAAAAGGTATTAAAAAGGAATATTTTTGCCTGGCACCGAGACAGTAGTAGGGACAGAGCTAGGCTGAGAGTATTCCAAAGGAGGGAACAGCCACTGAGAAGGCCCTTCATCTGCCATCCCTCTCTCCTCTTTGAGGGATGGCTCTTGCAGAAGTGTCTCCTGAAATGATCATAAGGGATGGGCAGGTTCCTATGGGAGGAGGCGGTCCTTTGTGCAGCCAAGCCCCAAGCCATTTAGGACTTCCTATGTAATAACAAAACCTGGAATTAGGCCCAGGCAGCAACTGTTAGCCAGAGCAATCCTTTCAGTACTGGACTGACTTGAACCCTCAATGATGCCTCCATTACCATCTGCCACGATCAGGGCCTGTGTGACTCTGCAAGTGCATGCAGAACCAGCAACACCTTTGCAGGGACTTGCAAGAAGCAGCTGAGGAGCAATTATGTAGTGCAGCTGGAGGCCCTGGAGACCAGCAGAAGGGGCTTCCTGACACTGCTGCTGCTCTGTGCCATAGCAATGCAAGTATTCTTGTTGCCTCCTTGTGCTCTGGTCCCTTCTCCAGTCTGCTCCTGCTTGCCCTTGTTATTCCTGCCCTTTCCTAGTCTGTTCCTGCCTTGCCCTGCATGCCCCAGCACTACTTCTATGTGTCCTGACATGTCCCTGCTTCTGTCCAGCCCACTCTCACCTGGATTTCCTTTGTGAGAATGCCTCCCTGGTGTCACACTGCTGGACTGTTTCTGGACTGTGCGCTCACTACCATATTGGACTGCCTGCCACCTTGCCTCTGGTCCTGGACTTTCCACCATGCCACCTGCCTCTAGTCCTATTAAATTACAGAACCTGGCCTTGCATCAGCACCATGGTCCCTGTATCAGGCCGTTCCCAGTCTGCCACCCATTTCCCGGCTCTTACACCTTTCTTGCTGCTAATTTTTATGCCAGTTGCAATTTCCATGTAGAGCATGTTGCATTAATCTATTCTGGATGCTAGTAGGGCATGTGGGACTCTTTTCTGACTCTGTCCACCCAGGAAGGGGCATAGCCGGCAAATCTGACATAGTTGTAAGAAGGAATTGCTGGATCCCCAACCTGTGCTTCCAAGGAGAGACCCAGGTGCAGGACCACTCCAAACTACAAACCCTGTCCCTGAGTGGGAGGGGCACCACATCAAGGACAGGGAATGTCCCTCCAGCCTGTCAGACAGCCCCCCTACTGGTAGCACCTCAGTTTTATCTGGATTAAGATTCAGTGTGTTGACCCTCATCCAGTCCATTATTGAGTCCATGCATCGGTCGAGGACAGAGACAGTCTCATTTGGATTAAATGAAAATGAGAGGTAGGGCTGGTATTCTGGGCATTGTTCTGGACACCTCATAACAAACCAGTTTCATGTATATGTTAAAAAGCATGGGAGAACACAGAGTCCTGAAGATCCCCATGCACAAAGGTAATGGGGCACAGCTGCTGTCGCCCAGCACCACCCTCTGGACATGGTCAGCCAGGTAAGAGTGGAACCACCTCAACACAGTGCTTTCAACTCCCATCCCAGCCAACCTCTCCAGAAGGACACCAACACCATGTTCAATGGTGTTGAAAGCCACTGAGAGGTCAAGGAGAATCAACAGGGTCACATTCCCCCTGTTTCTCTTCCTGAAAAGGTCATAAAACAGGGTCACCAAGGCCATCTAGGTCCTAAACCCAGACTTGGAACACAATTGAAATGGATCTAGAAAATCCCTTTCATCCAAGAATGCTTGAAGCTGCCCAGCAGCCACCTCCTTCAACGCATGGCCCCAAAATGGGAGGTTTATTTATTTATTTATTTATTTATTTATTTATTTATTTATTTATTTATTAAAACATTTCTGTGCCGCCCCTTGCCGTAGCCTCGGGGCGGCTCACAACATAATAAAATACACAGGTTGCGATGGGTCAGTAGTATGTAACTCTCCCTGGGTCTTGGTTTGGCCTTTTAAGGAATGGTCTGATGACTTCCACCTTCTTCAAAGAGGCTGGGACCACTTCCTCTCTTAACGAGGTGTTGACAGCCTCCTGGATGCACTGACAAACCCCATCCACTGATCTTCCACCCAGCCATGATGGGAGATGGTCGAGCATGCAAGTGGTAAAAGGGAGGAGGGCAAACATATCCACATCATCCATAAAATGCCCTAAAATGGTGTACTGGACAAATCCAAAGATGCTGCCACAAAGGTGGAGACAAGCACTTGAATCTGAATGATTTTTTCTTCAAAGTCTGCTGCAAATTCACACTTTGCTGTCCAAACGTGTCATTCCCAAACTTGCAGACAAAGCAATGGAGCAGAGCATGAGTGCCAGCATGCCATGCAAGCCTGGTGTTGTAACAAGCCATGAAAAGTGTGTGATCTATTGGGCAACATAAATACTGGCACAGAAGGACTGTTCCCTGCTGATTCATTCAACGGGACCTCTGAAAAGTGGGCAATTTAGGATGGAAGATGAAAGTGCTTCTTTACACATCAGACCAAATATAGGAAAAGCGTCCTCACTATCAGAGCAATACGACAGTGGAACCAGCTGCCTAGAGAGGCTGCAAGCTCTCCCACACTAGAGACAGTCAAAAAGAAACTGGACACCCATCTGAGTTGGATGGTATAACATGGTATCCTGAAACAGCAGGGGGGCGGGGTTGGACCTCATGGCCTTCATGACTTCTTCCAACTCTGCTATTCGATGATTCTATGAAACATCCCACCAGGAGCCAGCAAAAGCAAAGAATGCTCCTAATTTACAGTGGACCAATAGCAAACACAGCAGCTGAGGCAATGAAGGAGGAAGGGATTATTGAAGTCAGAGCAAGCCACAAAGGAACTTGGGGTATGTGATACAGCCACCAAGAGGATTGGAAAAGGGGATTGCAGCAGTCCTCTACACTGTGTGGGATTCCCTGCAGGGTGTATCATTCCTTGGCAAGATGTGCCAGAATGCCCACGGTATTGGAAGATCATTGCCCTCCTCCCCACAGGCTGGATGTTCTTTCATAGTCACCCACCTTCCTGAGAGGAGATCGTCCCTTCTGGGCATGGAGCGCAGTCATAGCAGCAAACGGGCTTTCCTTCCTGAACCACCTTGAAGAATCCCGGGTGGCAGCTTTCCACGCACCTGGCCATGGGCAGGGGCTGAAAACAAAAGCAAGGACCACCAGGAAGATGTGTTAGAGCTACTTCACTGGGGGAAAGGAGAGGCAGCATTGGATAGGACAGGAGAGAAAACTTCTAGGACTGAAGCTGATCCTGCAAGTAGGGTTGCGAAAATTGGGCTGAAATCAATTCCTCTTCTGCTTGCTGAACTGCATCCCCAAGCTTGGAAAGCATTTGAAGAAAAGAAGATGCACAAGTCATGTGTGCAGAAGCAGGTGGCTGGCCTCCTGAATTCTCTTGGCCTTGCTTTCTTGCAAAGGAGCACACAAACAATTGTTGCATGCTAGATTTGGGGCATAGACAAAGTGCACTGGAGTCTGGGAAGCCAAATCAGAGAAATCTGAAGGAGTCAACTTCCCAAATGAAATTCCTCACACATTTCTGCCTCTAAGTAAACCTCAGCCCTTGCAAACGATCTCAATGCACATACATTCCCAAATACATGCATTTGACAGGACATGGAATGAAATGAAGGCATGATTTCCTTCACCTTATTGAGCCATTTGGGCCACACGATGGCATCTTGGTCAATGGTGAATTTGCGTCCAGACAATCCCTGTCTTTTGATGCTCCCAACTTTCACTTTTAGAACAGAGTTGTTGGGAAACTTCACCCAGTTGACAATGTCCAAGTCAGCTGCCAGCTCCCCCTTCTCATCCATATACACTCCATCCATGGAACAGTTGTGAAACTGTGGGCTCCTCAGGAAGGGGTGGATCTAGAGCAGGAATGAAGCCGACACTACTTAGGAAAGGTGAAGCCACAGTGCTTTTTCCAGTCCTTCCCTTTTTGCTCTGGGGCTGTTATGGGTTGAAGTGGCTGGTGCGTCTTTTCAAATGCAAAGTGCCTTGATTTTATTCCTAAATGCCCTTGGTCTCCTTTAGGAGAATGGCAAGAAGATCCTTCTGCGCTAAAAAGCAAACCTGCCTTTAATGTGGGCCAGGTCTTACTCTCAGGAAAAGCGAGGGCAGCCTTTTCAGTGGGCACGTCTCAGCATTCTTTGGAAAGTCCTCAGTTGTAAGCCTGTACAGAGTGAATGGTGTGTTCCTTCAACCAAATCTGAGTATCATGCCACAGGCATTAAATTGTCCAACTCTTTGGAAGGAATGGTTTCATCACAGAACGGTTGTCTTCTCAGTGCCAATAATAACTTTAATACAACATGTGTTTCAGGAAGTTCAGTATGAACAATGAAAAGTTCTAATCATGAGCAAGTAGGGAGCTGATGGTCTCACCTGGTCCACTAGATGAGCATCCTGCACTACATGCAATGTCAGAAGATATGCACTCAGAGGCAGAGTAGCGGTTTAGTGTAGATTGTCAATGGATTATGGGCCATTGATGAAACATGGATTATCAGGGATCATCATGTTGTCAGGGCCCAACAGAGATAACCTACGAAGAAGCGCTATGGCTTCTTCATCATGCTTTGATATGTCACGTATGCAGTTCCCACATTAGCCACACACAACCTTTGAGGCTCTGCTACATTGTGCAAGGCAAATTAATCAACTGGTGAGATGGATCTGAGCAAAGGGTTCTATGACTCCTCACTCTCTTAGGGTGACCTCATTCAGGATGCCTTGAGCCAAGTGTGGGGGCCCTGCAGGTGGACAGCATCCTCTGAATATTGGGTAATGGAAAAACAAACCCATCCATGCAGAAAACATGCCAGATGGTTCTCATATCCTTGTGAGTATATAACTTCTAGTCTCGGTTTCTCTTCATCTCTGCATTTATGGAATTACTGTTTATACATGTCAGAAATGTCTGAAATGGAATAGAGAATACCTGCCATGGCTGAAGCCTTTGCACGCCCAACCTGTGACCATCGTCAACCTTCATCCCCCTGAATCTGGAGGAAACAGCTGCATCCAAGGCCCGGGCTACAGCCTGGATGGTGTTGTAGGAGAAATAGCTGTCCAAGGAAAGCATTCTCTGCATGACTTCTCTGGGTGGGGCCTCCCATTCCCCTTTCTCTCTGCATCTTGTCCTCCCTTTCACGGAAACAACAGGCTTGGCATAGGAACATTCAAAAGACTTCATCACCAATGACTCCATAGCAACAAAAAGGGGTATAAAAGCTTCATAGTTTGTCTTTTTATTCATTTGGAGAATGAAGGAAAACATTCCATGGATGTGTTGGAAATGTGGATTATTATATGTTAACTCCACAGTGAAATCCCACATTGCTGTGGTGATCCAGACTTTTCCTATGATTGGTTCCGTTCTTTCCAATGCTCGCTGCACAGTATCTATTCCATATAGCAAAAAACTAGCCTCTGCACAATAAACAAACACATGGATTTTTGCCATCATCTCTAATGAAGCAAAACGGAGCATCACAATATCTGATTTCAAGTCTGAGAAAGTGTATGTAAATAGTACGCAAATGCCATTCCTGAGGAGCTCAGGTGTCAAGGTTCTCTCGAACATACTTCCATTATCAGTGTCTAAAGCAAAGAGCCCAACCATGGTCCATCTGAAATGCAGGAGGAGTTTGACGATCCCCATGTACTGGACTCCTTCCTTGGGGAGCATGCGGTAGAGAAAAGGGAACTGGGCTTGATCACTCAGAACATTTGAAGCAAAAGCATAAGTGACCTGGGGAATTATGGAAGAGACTAATAGATTCATTGCAGAATTACATTTCTTTTCTTCCTCATCAGGTTGCACCTCTTAACAAGTAATTATCTGTGTGAAACATTCCACTAGAAACAACTTTCTCCTTCCCTCCCTCCCTCCCTCCCTCCTTTCCAGAAGTATGAATAGGCTGTTCCAAGGGGTGAACTTACAAAGTATATTCATTAGCTTTGTGGCCAGTTTTTTCTCATGATCTCAAAGCAGCTTACATCATTCTCCTCCTGTTTCTCTCAGTCTTATCCCCACAACAACAATGATGTGACATTGGTCTGGGCTGAAACTCTGTGACTGGCGTAAGGTCAAGTATTTGGCTCCCTGGCCATGTGGGAGCTAGAATCCAGGTCACCTGCTCCTCAGGTTTTCCCTCTTAACCACTGCACCACATGGGCTCACAAAAGTTGCCTGCTGCCCCCTCCCTGGTGTCCCCAAGTGGTCCTTAACTCTCTGAGCTCTGCGCATGAAACTGCAAGAAAACTAAAAAAAAATAAGAAGGTTTCCTTCAAATAGACAATACTGACCTAGTGGTGTAGAGTGGGATGCTTGTGTGAGGAATGGTAGGGGGCTTTAAGCCTTTGCAACCAACTCTTGGTGCGTTGCTGCAATGTGTCATAAAATCATCTCTGACTTCTGGGAACTCTATGAATGAAATTGCTTCAGAATTTCCTGTCCCTGACAGCCTTGCTCAGCTCTGCCGTGTTCAAGACATTGGCATTATTTTATTTATTTATTTATTTATTTATTAAAACATTTTTATGCCGCCCCATTCGCCGAAGCCTCGGGGCGGCTTACAACAATAAATAAAAGTAATTATAATATAAATTACAATAAATATAAACATTAAAAATCCAAAAAATACAATATAAAATAAGCCGCCCTGGCCAGATAAGATCAAATAATACTAAGTTATATTTGTGTAGTCCATCCATCTCTTATTTGCACTTCCTTTTCTTCTTCTTCTTCTTCTTCTTCTTCTTCAGCTGTCCCTAGCAGCTCTTTACCCAGAGTGTGTATATTCACGGCATGGGAAATACCCACATATGTTCTATGGAAAAAAAAATGTTGATTTATCCTAGAAGAAATGCCAAGGAAGGGTAGATAGTAACTGAAAACCTTTTCCCCACACCTGTCCAATTTTGTAAATGCCCAGCAGATTTGAGATAAGGTTGGAGTTCTCAGAGTCTGATTCATCAAGAACGGCCACCAGATGCTTTTCTCTGCCACACTGGTAGTTGGGAACTTGAGTCTGACCACTCGAAAGCAGGTCTACAGCTGCATCAGAAGTCAGTCTAGCATAGTTATAGCTGTCATAGATGTCATAGCCCAGGGTGATGTTGGGCAGGAGCCTGGGATTCTGGTTGATCTCCTGAATGGCAAACAAGAAGGAGAGGATCTTCCAGTAAAATGTGGATCCTACACTGGGAAAAAAGCAGATGTGTCATATCACTTCCTCATCTGCAACAGATTTAAGTATTCTTTGGCTGCTGTCCTGGACATACATGCCTACATATATATCAATATGGGCAAAGTGTTTCTATGGCTTTCCACATAGAAAATTTGCAAGTAAAATGGAAACGGGGAGCCCTCTGCACTGCTGAGCACACTTTCCTCATGCAGGCTTGTTCCTGACAAATGCTGTCATTGTGCGACAGAACAACCCCCATAGCTAGCTGTACACGTGCTTTGAATTATTGCCTGAACCAGCACAGTGACTTACTCCCACTGTCCATTGGAAGCAGGCTTCCTGAAAGTGTATGGAAGAAACTCGGCACTTGTTGCAGAGATGGCCGCAGCAATGATGTGGTCTCCTGGCCTGTATTGATTCCGGGGGTGGAGCTCATCTGTGTCCCAGCTCCAGGGGCATCTGGCATTCAGCATCCCAAAGGAGGCCTCTGGGAGAAGCAGCAGCAGCAGCAGGAAGAGGAGCATTATTCTGGCTCTGCCAGTCAGGGCATCCTTCTTGCTTCTCCACCGAGGAATGATGAGAAGAGGCAGGAGCAGTCAAGGTCCCTTGCAGAGTGAGGCTTCATTGGCTGTAAACACAGAGAAAGAGATCCAGCTAAGGCCTCCACAGAGGGGAACAAATAGATACCATCTGCACCACAGCCTTGTTGTCTTGCCAGCTCTGAATGGAAGGTGAGGCCTTTCCTTTTGTGCCTGGATGCATGACTGCACCTCCTCTAACTCCAGGCTCCCATGTTTACAAGTTGAACTCAAAGATGGTATTTTCAGGGAGGGGATCCCAAGAGTTCTAGCAGGAATAACAGGAAAACAGTTCCATAACAATTACATCAGGAAAGTGGGACACCTCTGCAACTTCCTGAACTCTCTCAATTTTTCTATGCAAAGTTACATGGCTGGAGAAAAAGATGGTTTTGAGAACTCATGGATGCTGCTCTTTACGTGAACCAGGATTGAGAGAACCTGTACCATGTGTGCTTTTTCATAAGATTTGATTGTCTGAACAGCTGCAGCACACAGTTGGTACCTTCTCCCCCACACCCCCGAATGACCCAGCACTCCCCAGACTTCCAAGCAGAATCTTCTGCTTAAAAAGAGACTTTGACCCTGTACAAATGGGTACTCTCTGCTTCTCTCTTCTGTGTGTGTACAGTTCAGCAAGGATCCCTGATGGTCCACTCTGGCACTGGTAAGGTATATCACTGCCCTTTTCACAAGGCAAAAATATTGGTCCTGTGTCATGCAGGTTGAGTTCCAGGGACAGGATAGGCCAAAGCTTTAAACCAGCAGAGTCAGCTAAGTCAGCAAGACTGAGAGCCCCAGATGGAGGAACTGTCCCTTCCTGACTCCTGCCAGGCTGCTGCAAGAGAAACTGCAGCTGAGGACATTTTTACCTCTTCTTTCCTCTTCTCAACTCCTATTTTTCCTCCTGAAACCACTTTTTTTCCTTGCATTATCTTCCAGTGCCCACATCATATTCCCCCCTCTGTGTGTGCATGTGTCCTGGGACTATGTGTGTCCAGGATTGGTTCAATGCAACATGGGCAGTGTTACAATACA